AATTGAAACTGCTGGCTACAGGCATGAACCCCAACTTTTTGATTAAACCGTCAGAAATATTCTGCCAATATTATTACCCAGCAAACACTTAACGTTATTACAACGTTACCAAAACGTTAATTTTACGAAAAAAACGTTATGGCCACGTTATGGTAACGTTATAAAACGTTCTGTGTTAGCCGGGTATGACTGTGATACAATTATTTACACTCATTCTATTATAGAATATTATTACATTGTTCTAGCCAATAGGATCCACATCAGCATTACCACGTTTGACGCACTGAGCAACCTTGGAGGATTCCACATGACAAGAAGGCATAAGCTTGTCAAGCAGGTACTTTTAAACCCCATTTATCCAAATGAAATTGTACGTTTTTTATTTTTTTATTCTTGATGTATTATTGATTCTTTCCTTTTAATTTTGATTACATTGTGTTTCTGAATATATTTGTGTAGTGTTCGTTTCTGTTTTGCAACCACGCTTTCCTTTCCTTTCACGTTATTCCTCATCGTTAAAATCAAACATTTTTGTTCAAAATTTACCAGGCAAATCCAATCTTTCACTGCAAGAAACTTAATTCACATTTTATTTATCCGGTGCATAGCTTACTCCCTGTTTTTGTTAATAGGAAACAAGCCTTTGTTTATTTTTTTCAAATCTCTCATTCTCGTTTAAGTAATACTTCTCGCCCTTAGGATTACAATTGTTTTACATATTTAGCATAAGCAGTCTTTCTGGCCCAGAGCCATATTAATTTTAATATAGTACCATAACAAGGCTGTAATGTATAACAAACCGTGGTTACCATGGAAAAAGGGATTCTGTTACCAAGCAATGAAAGAGGAAAACGTCTTTTTCCGGTAGAGTGAAGAAAAGTTACAAATGTATAGATTCTACTGCTTCACCTTAATTTCCGAGACAGGAAGAAGCTATGTAATGAGAGTTAAGTATTTATGGAACAAAAATTACTGGCTTTTCCGGGAAATATTGTCCCCTTTCTCTTAATCACCAAGCAGTGCCATGCGCAAAACTTTTGAAAAATATTTTTCTTAACTCGTTTTTGAGTTTTGAATATCATGTGCGCTGTAGATGTCGTCAAGTTAATGGCTTATAGGCCTTCATTAATTGCAAGTAATAATTAGGCAGAATCAAACAAGTAAAAAACTTACCGAGTTATTGACTGCAAATTGAATTTCCTTGAAAGCCAACAAATGTAGAAATTGTTTTCGTGTTAAGAAAAAAAATGTCAAAGTCACATATAGTTTTTTTTTTGTTTTTTTTTTTTGGTCGGTTAAATTGTAAGCTCTTACCACGTGTATAACTCATGCAATATGAGTTTTGGGTGTAACACAATATTTAAAGAATTTCTAATGAAAACTAGGCGGCTCTTAGAGATTGCCTAATAAGGAAGTACATCTACTGAATGGCGGAATGAAACATCAGAATGGAAAATTCTGGTAATCATGCAAAAGGCAATGTAACGAAAACAAGTAAATGCGTGATCGGTGCGGAGAAATTTGTATGAAAATTAGGATACAACATATCTTGAATCTTAAATGAAAATAAGTTGATGAATAAATGATTGAAAGCTCCAACTCGTCGTCGTCACCAATGGATGATAGAGATGGCGTCTGCTGAATCACTGCCGTGACAGTAGAAATAGAAATTTAGAAGAACTCGAAAATGGGTGTAAAGATCAATAGTTTTGGATATGGTATATTTTAGTTACCAAGGGCAAGCGCTGAAATGTCCATATTATTTCGTTTTTCGCTATACTAAAGTCTAACGCGTCCTTAAGCTCAGTTAGGTAGGCAAATGTAGGGATCTACAACGTTTATTTAATGATGATTAACGAAATGATAAAGCCACACTTACCAGTAACAAGATGAGAGCATTTATCTAAATTTTTCTGATGATTATTAGCTCATTTGATTGAATGAATAGTTAAATAAATATAATGTAAATATACTCTATAGAAAACATCACCCTTCCTTGGATAAATTAGGAAAGAAAGAAATTGATTAAATATGAGATTAATTTGCTATCTATTTGGCGATGTCCACCTATTTCGCCAAGTCCTTAGAGAAGGAAAAATAACCCTTTAACCAATAATGTACACACAATATGATAATGATCGATTAATTTATAATGAAGTAATTACACCATTGATTGAAATATTGATTGAGATATCCTGTTTCATGTTGGCAGAGCGAGCACTTGGTTTCCAGTGCTGGGAAGGGGGACACCACCACATACTGGCTCCTGGGGAGTGACCACTTCAAGATACCTGGTGGTGCCAAGAACGATTCAAGCGATGTTGAAGGTAGGTTGAAGGCCGCAATGCAATTTTAGCAACGCCAACGACGGTTATGTTTTCACTGGTGTCTTTTTATGTGCGTCTATATTTGTCTGTTTGGCGGTGGAGAATAGGTCTAAGCAAGTTAGATTTCAATGACATTGTCTGGATAAACTGTTATTCAGGAGAGAACAGATCTTACAATGTCAGATGAATCCGGACTTCTTAATATTTTTGAAAGAAATTTCATTTTTTATCCTTTTCAGTAATCGATTTTCCTTGAAGGAGATCTGCACTCTTCGGTTGGTCTGTAGTAATAGGCTACCGAAGTTTCGTTTGGATATGCGCAAAAATACCTCGAATGTTGTGTCATTTTGCGCAGCTAACCCACTTCCGGGAGCAACCTCGCCATCTGTTTGCAAGGTTATTCGGACAGGAATGGCACTCTATATACATTTTTCAGGGTTTTGGATAAACTACACAGAAAACAGAGTCAAACTGCAGAGGAAAAGCAAAGCTACTGTAGAGAGTAGTCACGTACTGAAGTTTAGCTACGACAAATATGCCCAAGTAGTCAGCTAAAGTCACGTTGCGCAATATTTTACGTGCCTCCGGAAGTGACGAAATCTCGCAGAATACCGCAAAATTCAAATGTCACTTCAGTAGCCTATTGAACAGGGGTTGACCAACTTATTGCGCCATGTTGCTATGATAAGCCCTGTCCATTGGATAAAATTGTCATCCTCTGGACTGGATAAAGTTGTGGTTCACAAAGGCTGGATAAACAGCATAATAGGCCTAACTGTCCAGCGGATAGGCCTACATAATTTACCAGAGACAGTTTACCGTACGATATTTGGAAAATAAATATCCCAGAGTACTCCCTTATTATTGTTGTTTGTTACGCGCTGTAGGTTCATCCGTTCTTATGCGTATTGCTTTATTATCATTTATTATTTATTTATAACTTCTCGCTGTAAAAAAGCATCCCTTTTTAATGAAATCTTATCCAAAGAAACATGTTTTCAGGGCCAAGTTGTTCTAAATATGGGGAATCGGAGGAATGTCCTCAAAATGCGTTCATAGAGAGGAGAGGGAGCATTACCTACCAAGAAGACGAGTAACATCACATTTCTATCAGGACAATAGCGTCACATCATTACCTGGACGAAGAATGGCGTCACATCATGACCCGGATGAAGAATGGCGTCACATCATTACCCGAACATAGAGTGACGTCACATCAGTCCCGATATGAATTTCTGGTTTGATTTAATTGTGAGATTGAGTCCTTTTAATTTGACGGATGATTAATTAATGAGCATAACGTCAGTTTCTGTGTTGTAAAAATTTCCGTGTAGCACAATAGTGATTTAGTAACGATTGTCTCTAGTACTGTCTGACACAATTCTGGACTGGTGGTGACAAATAGAATCAGCAATGATTTAATTCTGGACAAAGAGATGTGCGCGCGCGTGTGTGTGTGAACGCATACTGGAAATGGAACATTGACTTATAAAATGAGGCGGTAATCCAAAATACAGGGATAGGTGTCGTTAATGACCGCGTAATATTCGCCTTTTTTAGTATCATTGTTTAGTATTAGTAATTCAAAATGGTAATTTTTTTCTGAGGTTTCTAATCGGGTTTTTCTTTTAAAAGTAATATTTGTGTCATGTTTGAATTATTTGAATTTCACTAAAGATGTACATCTTTTTTGCTGCGGATTGAATGATGACAAGTGAGGCTTATTCGTGCATACGTTATATTATAATAGTAATAAATATTATTGTTATTTTATTGGACATGAGCCGTTCACCACACTCACTCCCCCGTACACACACTCTATCTTCTTATACTCGCTTATATTAGTTAATTAACGGCCATCTACTTCATAAATAATATTATTCATTATTATTATGTCCTGTCCCTTTACCTCTCCACTTTTCAAATACCCCCTCCCTCCCCCAACTCCTCCTCGTGAAACGCCACGTCCATTATTGAAACTGTTTTGGTTTTTTTTTTTTTTTCAATGTGAAAAATAGCTACATGTTGAGAAGCGGTGTTGTCAGCATGCAGTTTTTCACTCCCTAGAAATAACGATTACACTGCCCCCTATTAACATAAAAGGAAACTGCGCTTTTGCTGCATTTGCTTGCCTGTTCTGCTATTGATCATTAATGCTAAAATGATCTATATTTGGCAACACGCCAGTAGCAGCTGCCATGAAAGAGTCACTAATCGAAACAAATCTTGTGAGGAAATACAGATGGTATTGAATTTTTATAAAATTTGCAATATATTACGTTACGTATTTTGAATTTTCAAAAGATACGGATATTTGTTGGCGTTTACCCATTATTATATGACCAGAAAGAACATTAAAGAAAGATAAGCAGTTATAAGAAGAATCGGAATCCATCCATTTGTGTCACGGGACTTTGTGTGTGTGTGTGTGTGTGGGGGGGGGGGGGGGGGGGGGCTT